TCTTCAGATTTTCACGATTTTCCAACCTAATTACGTGGAGTGGTCTGTGTTTTAAATAGTTTGCTGATTTTTTTCCGAATTTAGGCCGTCGTTTATGAAAGATAGTGCCGAACATGACAGGCCGCGAAAAGTTTTTGCGTCGTTTGACTTTCATGGCTTATATCTTTCGAATCTCTTCAGATTTTCACGATTTTTCAATCTAATTACGTGGGGTGATCTGTGTTTTAAATAGTTTGCCGGTTTTTTTCTGATTTTAACCGATCGTTTATGAAAGATAGTGCCGAATGTGACAGGCCGCGAAAAGTTTTTGCGTCGTTTGACTTTCATGGCTTATATCTTTCGAGTCTCTTCTGATTTTCACGATTTTCCAATGTAATTACGTGGAGTGATCTGTGTTTTAATTAGTTTGCCCGTTTTTCCCCGATTTTGACCGATCGTTTATGAAAGATAGTGCCGAATGTGACAGGCCGCGGAGATCTATTACGTCGTTTGACTTTCATTACTTATATTATCAGAATTTCTTCAGATTTTCACGATTTTCCAATCTAATTACGTGGAGTGATCTGTGTTTTAATTAGTTTGCTGGTTTTTTTCTGATTTTAACCGATCGTTTATGAAAGATAGTGCCGAATGTGACTGGCCGCGAAAAGTTTTTGCGTCGTTTGCCTTTCATGGCTTATATCTTCCGAATCTCTTCAGATTTTCACGATTTTCTAATTTAATTGCATGCAGTGCTCTGTGTTTTAATTAGTTTGCCGGTTTTTCCCCGCTTTTGACCGATCGTTTATGAAAGATAGTGCCGAATGTGACAGGCCGCCACAAGTTTTTGCGTCGTTTGACTTTCATGGCTTTTATCTTCTGTATCTCTTCAGATTTTCACGATTTTACCACCTAATTGCGTGCAGTGATTTGTGCTTTAAATATTTTGCCCGTTTTTTCCTGAGTTTAACTGAATAACGAAGATAGCTGTGACAGAATGTTGTATATTCATTAATGTAAAATAAGGTGGACCTAAGTTTATTTGACAGGATGTTGCTATTACATATTGTGTGCTATATTGTTAGCGGTACAATTGGATTCTATCTCCTTTTGTTTCTGAAAACTGCTA